TTCATGTGTTTTTTGGCCATTTGAATTTCTTCTTTTGAGAAAGTTCTGTTTAGTTCAGTTGCCCATTTCTTTATTGGTTCATTGATTTGGGAGTTTAGTTTTTAAGTTCCCTGTATATTCTGGTTATCAGTCCTTTGTCTGATGTATAGCTGGCAAATATTTTCTCCCACTCTGTGGGTGGTCTCTTCAGTTTAGAGACCATTTCTTTTTGTGCAGAAGCTTTTTAATTTTATAGTCCCATTTGTCCATCCTTTCTCTTAGTTGCTGAGCTGCTGGGGTTCTATTGAGGAAGTCCTTGCCTATACTATTACTTCCAGAGTTTCCTGCTCTTTCCTGTACAACTTAGAGTTTCGGTCTGATATTAAGGTCCTTGATCCATTTTGAGTTGATACTAGTACAGGGTACATGGATCTAGTTTCAGTTTTTTGCAGCAGATAACCACTTTTCCCAACATTTGGAAGAGGCTGTCTTTTCTCCATCATATTTTTGGGCCTTTGTCAAAAATAAGGTGGGCATAGTTGTGTGGATTCATATCTGGGTCCTCTATTCTGTTCCACTGGTCTTCATGTCTGTTTTTGTGCCAGTACCATGCTGTTTTTATTGCTATTGCTTTGTAATATAGTTTGAAGTCAGGTATTGTGATACCTCCAGCATTGCTCTTTTTGCTGAGTATTGCCTTGGCTATTTGTGGTCTCTTGTGTTTCCAAATGAATTTAGTAGATTTTTCAAAATCTGTGATGAATGTCATTGGGATTTTGATGGGAATTGCATTAAACATGTAGATTGCTTTTGGTAGTATAGCCATTTTTACTATGTTGATTCTACCAATCCATGAGCAGGGAGATCTTTCCACCTTCTGTAGTCTTCCTCGATCTCTTTCTTCAGGGGTTTGTAGTTCTCCTTGTGAGGTCATTCACATCTTTGTTAAGTTTACTCCTAGGTATTTTTTTGAGGCTATTGTAAATGGAATTGTTTCCATATATTACTTCTCAGTTTGTTCATTGTTGGTGTATAGAAAAGCTAATGATTTTTGTAAGTTGATTTTGTATCCTGCCACCTTGCTATAGCTGTTTATGGTGTCTAGGAGTTTTGGGGTAGATTTTTTGGGTCTTTAAGGTATAGGATCATATCATCTGCAAATAGGGATATTTTGACAGTTTCTCTACCTATTTGTATTCCTTTTATTTCTTCTTCTTGCCTAATTGCTCTGGCTAGGAATTCCAGGACTATGTTGAATAGGAGTGGGGATAGTGGGCACCCTTGTCTCATTGCTGATTTTAGGGAAATGGTTTCATTTTTCACCATTAAGTATGATGTTGGCTGTAGGTTTGTCATATATAGCCTTTACAATGTTGAGGTACATTCCTTCTATTCCTAGTTTTCTTAGAGCTTTTATCATGAAGTGGTGTTGGATCTTATCAAAGGCTTTTTCTGCATCTATTGAGATGATCAAGTGGTTTTGTCTTTGCTTCTATTAATGTGCTATATTACATTCATAGATTTGTGTATGTTGAACCACCCCTGCATCTCTGGGATGAAGCCGACTTGGTCGTGGTGAATGATGTTTCTGATGTGTTGTTGGATTTGGTTTGCCATTATTTTATTGAGGATTTTTGCATCAATGTTCATTAAGGAGATTGGCCTATAGTTCTCCTTTTTGGAGGTGTCTTTGTCTGGTTTGGGATGAGTGTAATACTGGCTTCATAAAATGAGTTAGGCAGTGTTCCTTCCCTTTCTATTTCATGGAACAGTTTTGGTATTAGTTCTTCTTTAAAGGTCTGATAGAATTCAGCAGAGAATCCATCAGGTCCTGGACTTTTTTTTTGGGAGACTCTTTATTGCTGCTTCAATTTCATTTTGTGTTATAGATCTATTCAGGTGATTAATATCCTCTTGGTTCAATTTTGGATGGTCATAAGTATCTAGAAATCTGCCATTTCTTCAAGATTTTCAAATTTATTAGAATATAGGTTCTCAAAGTAGTCTCTGATGATTTCCTGGATTTCCATGGTGTTTGTTGTTATCTCCCTTTTGCATTTCTGATTTTACTGATTTGGGTTTTTTCTCTCCTCATTTTAGTCAGGTTTGCCAGGGTCTGTCAATCTTATTTATTTTTTCAAAGAACCACTTTTTGTTTCATTGATTCTTTTATGTTTTGTTTGTTTGTTTCTATTTCATTGATTTCAGCTTTATTTTTATTTTTCTCTCCTTCTGCTTGTTTTGGGATTTGCTTGTTCTTGTTTTTCTAGGAGTTTGAGATGTAGCATTAGGTCATTGATTTGAGATCTTTCTGTCCTTTTAATATATGCACTCATGGCTATAAACTTTCTTTTGACTGCTTTTGTTGTGTCCCATAGGTTCTGGTAGGTCATGTTTTCATTTTCATTGACTTCCAGGAACTTTTAATTTCCTCTTTTATTTCATCAATGACCCATTGATCATTGAGCAATGTGTTGTTCAGCTTCCAATTGTTTGCATGTTTTTTACTGTTTTTTTGTTGTTGAGTTCTAGTTTTAATGCCTTGTGATCAGATAGAATGCATGGGATTGCATTCTATTTTCTTATATTTGGTGAGGCTTGCTTTGTGCCTAATTTTTTGGAGAAGGTTCCATGGGCTGCTGAGAAGAATGTATATTGTGCAGAAGTTGGATGAAATATTCTGTAGACATCAGCTAGGTCCATTTGATCTATGGTGTGATTTAGTTCTAGAATTTCTTTATTGATTTTTTGTTTGGATGACCTATCTATTGGTGATAGGGGGTATTAAAGTCTCCCACTACCACTGTGTTGGAGTTTATATATGTTTTTAGGTCCTTCAGAGTATGTTTGAAAATTGGGTGTTGACATTGGTGCATATAGGTTGATAATTTTATTTCCTTTTGGTGTATTTCCCTTTTATTAGTATGATGTCCTTCTTTATCTCATTTGATCAATGTAGGTTTGAAGTCTACTTTGTCCGAGATAAGTATTGCTACTCCTGCCTGTTTTGGGGCCATTGGCTTGGTAAATCTTCTTCCAGCCTTTCACCCTAAGCCAGTGCTTGTTTCTGTTGATGAGATGGGTCTCCTGTAAGCAACAGATTGTTGGATCTTCCTTTTTAATCCAGTTTGCCAAAGGTGTCTTTTGATGGGGGAATTAAGTCCATTAACATTCAGTGTTAGTATTGATAGGTATGTGGTGATTCCTGTCATTTAGTTGTCTTTGTTGTTTAAGGGTTTGATTGTGTGCAGCTGAATCAATGTTACTCTACTTTCTTGTCTTTTCTTCTCCTGTGGTTTGGTACTGCCTGTCCTTTCATGGTTTTTGCTTTCTTTTCTGTGTGCAGAATTCCTTGAAGAATCTTTTGTAGTGGTGGCTTGGTGGTCATATATTGTTTTAGTTTCTGCTTATCATGGAAGACTTTTATTGCTCCATCTATTTTGAATGATAGTTTTGCTGGGTAGAGTATCCTAGGATTGAAGTTATTTTCATTCAGTGCCAGAATACCTCACTCCATGCTCTTCTTGCTTTTAAGTTTCCTTGAGAAATCTGCTGTGATTTTGATGGGTTTACCTTTGTATGTTATTTGTTTTTTCTCTCTTACAGCCTTCAATATTCTTTCTCTATTCTCTTGCTTGTTGTTTTGATAATATGTCATGGGGTAGTTCTATTTTGGTTAAGTCTGTTTGGTGTCCTGGAGGCTTCCTGTACCTGAATGGGCAGAGTTTTCTCTAGATTTGGGGAAATTTTCTGTTATTATTTTGTTGAATATATTATGAATTCCTTTTGCTTGCACCTCTTCTCCTTCTTCAATGCCCATGATTCTCAGGTTTGGTCTTTTGATGGAGTGGTGAGTTCTTGCATATTCCTTTCACAGGTCTTGAGTTGTTTTGACTATAGCCCTTCAGTTTTTCCTTTAATTTCCATTTCATCTTCAAGTTCTGAGATTCTGTCTTCTGCTTGTTCTAGTCTGCTGGAGTGGCCTTCCATTGTGTTTTATATTTCTGTTTCATTCTTTTTTCTGAGGTTTTCCATATCATGGGTCACTTCCTCTTTAATATTGTCAATTTTCATCCTTAATTCATTTATCTCTATTATGTGTTCTCTGTTTCACTTTGTGTTTATTTAGGGCTCCTATGAGTTCATTTATTTGTTTTGTGTCTTCTCAAATTCTTTATTTTTGTTGTCTTAGAATTTCTTGAGTGCCTTCTTAACATTTTGGTTGACCTTGTCTAATAACATCTCCATGACATTCTAAGTAATTTCTTTTAGGATTTCTTTTTTCAAGGTTTCTTGATGGCTTTCGTTGGGTTCTGATAGTCTTCTTTGTTTTGTGAGTCTTGGAACAGTATATCCATTTCTGCGGAATTTCCATCCCTTTTTTCTTCCCATCATTCCACTTGGTCTGTTTCTGTCCCTGGTGGTGTATGTAATTTAGTTATTAGCTAACTTACAATAGTAAAACTAATGAAACCAAGAAAGAAAGAAGAAAAAGAAAAAAATAGAGAACCAAAAGGGAAATCAACAGGGAGAGATGGTGATAACAAAGAGTGAACAAGACAAAACACTTAGAGAGAAAAGAAAAAAAAAATTCCCAGGTTCAGGGAACAATAGAATTTCAGTCTTAGTATTCTTGGTGTTACTCCTTCAGCATCCAGTTCCTGGTGTTGGTTTTAAGCAGACCTCTGTCAAAGTCTGCCAGGTGGTTTGTTCAGGAGATGAGTTTGGTGAACTGCTATCTGCCCTATCAGGCAGCAGCTCATCACCTTGCCTACTGTCAGCCATCTTACTTTTGCAGGCTTGTTTTACTGAAAAGTTCATGTGGGTTTCCACGCTACTTGCCCCTCTTCCCCTTCTCCAGGGCTCAGAGCATCCCGCCCTTCTGTTGCGTGTCCTTTTCAGTTTCCTTGTTATATTCAGTTTTTTTTTGTGGGCGGGAGTCAGTCTGTCCAGGGGGCTATGCTGGTTTAAATCCCAGGCGTAGCTGTGGGGAATACTGCATGGCCGCTTTATTTGCTCACCTGTTGGTCTCTTCTCCCAAGGGCAGTTTGGAGCCAGCATCTTCATCGTGGGAGCCCTCCTGGTTTCTCGTGAACACTGGCACGGAGAAGCTTTGTACAGGCGGGTTCAGAGTGTCAGAGTTTTGCTTCTTCTTGAGGGTTTTTTTTCTGCCAAGTGTTGGCTCCAGCATCCCAGCAAGATTTTGATTTATGGATCTCACCGCTGTCTGCTTCCTTTCCCTCTAATTGCCATCCTTGGATCCCTCCAAGTCCCTGTTTTCATGATCATGCTTTCATTGAGTTTTCAAGGGGCCACTTAAAATTTTTAC